ATGATCTAATATTAGCAACAGCGTAACTAATTACAGTAGTAAATAAAACAAGTTTGAAATCTTTAAATTGCTTTAGGATAAATAACTCGAAATATTATGTAAGTTTTCACTATAATAATGATATTAAACCTACTGCAAATCAACTTAGTACTTATAAATTTTGACGTGTTTCTAGCAAATTCAGAGTGCACTTGGACACAAACTTAAATTAGGCTATTATACTGAAGAAGCTCAAAATAAGCTTTTATAATCTGTAGGACCTTGCGACTTATATTTATGAGATAAATTGTAGGTTCTCACTAATCTATGAAAATCCTGCAGAATTCTTAAGTTTACATTATGCCAGTATATTGATTTCTCAGATTCATGATTCTTTTTTTTTATATTTGAAACTCGAGGTTGATGATATTCATTCCAACGCTCAATAAACTATATATTTTCTGTTATTCAAGGAGAAAACTACTCTATTATTATCTTAATACACTTGTCTGACGTGTGAGAAGCTAAAGTATTCCGTAAAACAGATTAAGCTTTCACAGCTGTGAAGATTTATATTTAACCTGAAGCAAAGTTCTTATTATACTCATCTTCTGGTAAAGTTACTTTTCAGAGTTTGCTGAGACTTTTAAGTATTCCCATCCATAGTGATATGAATTCTTACTTTTTTAAGTTACAGAATGGTGTTGATTGAAGTTCACAATTCCACTTTAGTACACTCAATCTACTAAATTTTATTAATTACTCATAGTGTACATGTAGTTTAGACAAAGTAATTTAATATTAATAAAAAACAGCTAACAATTTTTTTTTAGTTGATAATGAATTTTTTTGTACCACAAAGTTAGTTTGTTGAAAAAAACAACAGTTTTTAAAATAATTTGTAATAATAATAATAAATATTTTTGGAATAAAACTGTTAAGTTATTAAAAACTACAGCAATACATTTCAATGCGCTCAACTGTATTTTTAGTCAGTTCTCATAAACGCATAATAAAAAGTGTCTAATCTCACTTTTTAACAACTGTGGCACTCTGCTCTGCAGGACTCAGCATAGACCAAATCATTCATCCTATGTTCTATGAAAACTTAAATGCTGTAGGCTGTTATTTGTATTAAAAAATAAGTAACTTGTGATATAAATACATACATCCAGTAATATCTTTGCATTAAAAATACTAAGATGTTCAACGTTTCAGCTATAAATTCGCTTAAAATGTTTTGTTTAAACTACTTTACTGTATTCAGCTTGTCTAAATTCCAATATACTTTAAAAGAAACTCTTAACACTACTATTAAATTACACCTATAACTTTATACTCTGAAATATATTGCTGTTTGAACATTGATCAAAAAAGTTAAACTCTAGCCCAAGATTCTGCAAGAGATAGGTAGAAGAATACAGGACGACTAAGATAAAAGAGAAATATACTTGTGAACATCAACATACCTAGTCACATCAAGAGCTCTCATAACTCTTAAGCCTTCTGATAAATGACAATAATCTGCATCTTTTTTGTCTATCCACGCATGCTCATTAGTCTCAAAGGTTCCTCAACACTTATGGATAGTCCCAAGAAATGTACTATTGTAGTATTAAAACTAAGAAAATCAGTCATCTCCATGGGTAGTTGGTTTGAAAAATCCAATGTTGTTTGGTAAATTAGCTCGGAGAAGAAACATGATAAAATTACTTGTCTAAACTTCCTTTATCTAGATAATTATCATAATACAATATATTTCAATCTGACCACTTTCAGAATCGAAAATTTATAAAAAAAAAACCTTAAGTACTCAAATGTCCTTAGTATTTGATTGGTGTACACTCATAAAACAATATCAATATTTGATTTAAAGTCAACGAAAAACGAAGTGAAAAATATTTGTAACTCAGTCAATGACGAAAAAGTAGAGCTTTAGCTGCTAAAAACAAATCCAATGAAATACGATAATATGTTTATTTGCGTAAATTTGACATTCAGTATATGTTCTTGTCTTATCTGGGCCCATACGCCCTTATTCAACGAGATATTTTAACACCCCTTATCAATACAGATTCATATACAAGATTTCAATTTTACTCGCTCTCCAGAAGTGATCCGAGTTGCATTCATTTCTGCAACCAGAGGTGCAAATTGTTTTTCATTTTGTGGTTGAAAACACCTTATAATACTTTTACTTTCTCAAGTTATCATGTCCACCTCACCGGTGCAAAAAATAAATACACATTATCTTCTCTGTGTTGTTTACTCAATTATCATTTAACTTGATTAAATAAGTATGGTGGTAAATCTTGAATAACAACACATACCATCATGATTATATGTTTCTACCCGGAGTGTGGATTTGAATATTCACGACTTACGTTCTCTCTCACAGAAACATGCTCTCCACATTTGGGGACGTAGTTGTGCCGGTGAGATCTCATTATTATCTAATCAGACGAGAGTAGCCTAACATCTGGTGGTGGATGCTGTTGATTAGTTGCCTTTGCTTTAGTTTATCAGTTAAAAGTTACGACCGGATATGCGCAGATAGCACTCCAATAACTTTACGTGAAATTTCTAAACAATTAATTAATCAATTTGTATATATCAGGCAGGCGGTAACACTGCCTATGTAGGGGTGGCTCGGATTGTTCATCGAAATGATATT